GAGGTAAATTTTTGGGGCCGGAGCTGGTTGTATCTTGAAAAATTCATAAGGAGGGGCGTTCGTAACTAGAGGTACCACTGTATATTAAAACCTTGTAATGGAGTCAAACAATCCAAATTATGTCACAGTTTGCTTAGCCCCTATGTATGGGAACAATGTACCAATACACCTAGATATGATAGTAACAGAATGGCTAAAAGCTTATAAACTGAACTATAGAGGTTTTCAAATTTTGCATTTTACAGACATTGTACTGTTTACAGTTTTTATCTCTAGATCTTTATATATATTTGCCCACTGAACATGGGATGACATAGTAGAACCCAATCCAGCAACTCTTCTGTCACACTAGATGGGTTGCTGGCCTGATCCTAACCTTGTTTAAATGAAAGTCCCATGGATTAATGGGACTTAATTCCATGCAAGTGTTTGAAAGATTGCAGCTTTAGTCCTTAATGTGCCATTCAACTTGGTTTTGTTTTTTATTTTTTCTTCTTTGCATGTGTGCATTGGGGTACATTGATTAACAGCAACTTTTGCAGAAATTCTTATTTTCCCCTTTATTCTCCCTCCCCCTACCTGAAATAGGAAAGATACTAGATGGATATTTTAGTACTTTTTAAATCAGTTTCAGTTGGGTTACCAGACTGAGCCTGCAAATATGCAGACCATCACTAGACAGCAGGCAAGAACTATACAAAATTCTAGTGATTTGCTTCTATCTCGTTGCCACCTGGATTTTTTAAGCCCAGATCTGGTAGCCTTACTTTTATTTTTTAAATTTTTTTGAGCCACTTTCTGGGCTTTTAAATTGGAGGACAGACTATTCCAGAATGTGTAGGTAAAGCACACCAAGCTACAAAGTAAACAGGCTTCAGTACTGGAAGAGAGTTGGTGAAGTGTGCTGACTACAGTGCTATATCCACGTTGTTTTCATGGCCAGAATATAAGTTTATAATATTGGGATTCCTAGTGGCCTCTCATCTAAATGCTAATTAGGTTAGATCCAGCTTATCTTTTTCAAGAAGACCCAAAATTGGCAAGGATCTGCCATCTACAGCAGCTTAAGAGATTTTTAAACATATCCCTATTTTCCTCTGTGAAATGTTGGAGTGTACATATTACTGTTCTTTGAATTATCACCATTTTGAACGTGATCTCTGAAGTTCATAAGCAAATGATGGTAAGCTCACTGACATTGATAGCAAATCAACGTCTTCAAGAGCAAAAACTCTAAATCATTTAGCAGCCATAAGAATGCCTTCTGATGTTCATGTTTTTACTTGCTGCTATTTTTTTTTTTTTACTTGTTGGAGTACAGATCTAAGCATCTGTACTGCCTGAATAACACTATTTCAAAGCCAGGAGTTAGCCACTTTGTCTGGTGCCAGGAGCCATGGAAATAATCTTGCACAACAGTTGGGTTTTCATCCCTCCCAGAATGTTTGAGACTGGCAAATTGTACGAGATGTTTATGAGATAAGAGCCTGAGATCTGATTAGGTTTCTTTGGAGAATGCTGAAATTCCCTGTGAATTTATCTGAATTTGTCAAATCATGAATTTCAGTATTGCATATGAAAGCTCATGAGATCTTGATATTTGGTTGGTTGGTTGGTTGGTTCTTAATTTTTGAAAATAATTCCCAGGATGTGTAAAACACTGCATCACTGGATTGGAGAAAGCTGTTCTATAGCCACCCAATACAGAAGTGTTTATATTCCTTGGGCAGAACTGATAGGCTGAAGATTAAATATTATGTGGCACCTTGAAAACTAATTATGTAGTCTGATATCAAAGGATTTGTGCTTAGAGGACTACTTGTTAACTTTGGTGCTTTTGTAATATAATCTTAACATATTTATTTTGAAATACAGACTCCCTGAATTGCTGCTTAAATCCAATTGAATGTGCTTAGTTCTGTGTTAGCTTTAGCAACATTTTATATACAAACCTCTGCTATTACCTCCATTTTTAATTAGTGCTCTGTCTTTGAACAAATCACCATATTTTTGCATTTGGATAATTGAAAACTTTATTATGCCAAATAGGGACGAGCTGGGAGATGAGTCTGATAATTTTTAAATTAAATGTCAAATTGGGTTAGTAATGGGAAAGTGAAGAGATTTCTAGAGGGAGCTGCCATTTGGATCCATTTTAAGCACCTCTCCAGAGACATTCGCTAGGTCTTTCAGTCAGATGTGAAAATGGGCCATTTCCATTTTAGCTATTACCTTGCTTTTATTAGATAAATGCCTAAGCTTCATCTGGCCCAGTGGTAACAGTTCACACAATGAATGTATTTGTAGCTGGAAATGAATTCTACCATCATCCAGGGAAATGGAAACAGTCTGTGATATAGGCCAGAGTTTTGGAATTCAGGGATGGAGGAGAAAAATAAATAGTGGAAAGATTCTGAAAGGCAGATGTCCAGGAGATTTTTCATTTGTGATTTAAACTCTGTGCAATTTCAATTTTATATGAGTACATCTCTAAGAGCCCTACTATTTTAAAAGTTTGCACATTTCTGTCTTACTTTGAGCCCCAAGCACTAATTATAAGCTAATGTGTTTGCTATATAGGAAAATATGTATTCACATGGTAATACAAGGTCCTTGTCAGCAAATAGATGCTCTCTGTTTGCTGCTTAGTGGGCTCCTGCATTCAGATTTAAATTTTTCAGAAATGCAAATATCTTCCTAATTGTTTCTTCAAAATTCAGAGGCTCAGCTGAAGTGCTTCTTTAGGACACTTATCTGTAAAAGTGAATGTGCAATTTTTAGTGAAGAAAAATTTTTCACTTATTCTTTTGGATCATGGTCAGGCAAAACAGCTTGTCGTTGTGTTAGGAAAGAGCTATTGTTCATCTGCATTCTCCATTTAAATACCTTATCAGCTTGTTTTGCATAGTGTGAGACTAGCACTTGCCACAGCCTCTCATCTGAATGCTTATTTAAGTTATGGTCAAAATCTGATGTTCATTCTCTTCAAGCATTTGAATGGGAAGAGCAATTAGCTTAAAGAGTAAGCTGGAAGACACAAGAACTGCAGATTTTCAGATTTTTCTCTGGTTCGGGGTAAAATCCAAAATGGAGCAGAATTTCACTTTTAACTCTTTCCACCTAATAGACTTCCTGGGTCCAAAATGGCAGCTTCCCAAAATAGGGGAGCCTCTGTTAGGATATTTTCTGGCCTCAGGAACAATGTTC